TCAACTGAATTTCTTGCTTGACATAAACAGCTGATTTGAAGTAAGGCCGAAGAAGATAGGGTTACCAAATGTTCCCCTTAAATCAGTCATCAAATTAATGATATTACAGAGTTTTTCATACATATATTTTATGTTGCGAATAATAAAATATTAAAAAATAATAATAAAATTATCGTTAGAATTAACGAAATTACTAAAAAATTACAGAAACAATGATAAAACCGAATACAGTTTATATTGTATGGCAACTCTACTTCTGCAAAGTACCATGTCGACGTTTATTTTTGTCGCAGTTCAAAATTTCAATTCACGTGAGAAGCAGAACAGGAGGTAGCTTCTGTGGTGAAGTGTATGTGTGAAGTGAAAAGAACACGCCGTGAGTTCCAGAACATACCCGTATATTTTTAGATCGATCAGAAAGTACAGATGATGATAATATCATAGAGTTATTAAAATGCTTTCTAATTAGGATTTTTCATATGAAATCGTATTTCCATTAGAATATCCGATTTCGATTCATTTCAGAATGATCTGTTAAATGACGCTTGTTCACGAAAAGCTTGTTCCAGGTGCGGCGCTTGCCTGTGATATAAAAAAATATGAAATTAAATTCTCCATATGTTTTGACCCTCACTGTATTCGTCATTGTTTATATTTCACTTCAAATAGAAAACTTTTTGTTTTTAAATTTCAACAAAGTACCAATTGATTTGATTCAATAGCAAATTTGTTTAAACAAAAAACAAATATTGGCAGATGTTTAACGTTTCATTGATTCTCACAATATTTCAAGTGTCAATGAATGTTTAAAAATAAATTAGAAAAAAAATAAAAGAAAAAGTAGAAAACTTTCCAAAACTTTTTGGTTAAAACAACAATTTTTCGAGGTTTGGGAAAGAAAACAAATAAATAAAATATTGCAAACATTTCCAATAACTAGACATGATTTCGTAAATGATTTGTAACAATAGATTTTGTTCCGGCTTTCTTTAAATGCCTCAACACCTGTTGGAGTTTCAATGCATTTAATTTAACAATGAACTTTATGTGGTTGTTGCTGCCAGTTTTATTGTCTCGACAAAACTTAGAATAATTGTTTTTAATGCACTGCAATTCTAATCATGTTTTTTTTTTTATTCCACTTTCCGCAATGACCCCTAAATCGGCCAGCACAACCACCACCACCCTAGGGGAAATAAAACAAGTTGTCAAAGGCTGCGAAAAAAAACTTAACAATTGGATTGTCTGCAAAGTCACGATTTTGTAAAATCGAAATACAGAAATCAATGAAATTAAAATTCGATTTTATTTTCTTATGCAATATATAGGCAAGTGTACCTATGTGGCTGGGTGTGTTAGTTGGTATTTGTTATATATACACATAGTTAATTTATTTCATTTTGTGAATTGTTTCCATTTTCTTTTCATTTATTGTCTTGAAATTGTGTCTTGGATTTCTTGCTTACTTGAGGTAAATTATACGGACAGCTAACTAAAATTGTACTCTAGAATATCTGCATATATGTATGTAGAAAAAAACAAATACCTAGAAATATTCCATCGAATGTAGGGGCTTTGAAAGAAATTCTGACGACCTCTTATATACCTCCCATTATTGTTGGAAATTCTGCAGATTGATTACGTCATACATTGAACCTGTTCACAGAATAATTTCCAAAACTATATATTTGGCAGTTATAGTTGATACCTTGATAAGTTCACCGGTAAACCGCTACTACCTTCTTCTTAGTCTTTCAGGTCAGATCCAGTTGTCTCAGAGTAGGTCAATCCTATTTTTAAAGTGATTCAATCATTTCAATCCTTCGATTCGATCCTCAAAAGCAACATCGTCATACGTTTAGTTCCATAGTTCAGTTTAGTTCAAACGTTCATTAGTGAACGATGGGATCAAAAGGAACTAAGTGAAGAGAGAATGAACGGTATGTGGCAACCTTCAGCCACCAAATACGGATTACTGATGACATACGATAAACGGTATTGCACAAGCACCTGCATTTTTGCATTAGAGTAGGGCAATTTGGTTCACTTTGCGGATCGATCTTTCTCGTTCCTTTTTTAAAAAAAGAACTACGTTCCTCCATACAGGTTCTTTGCTATTTATAGTTCCTTTGCTCCATATAGTTCCGACTCCTACATAGTTCCTTTGAATCTCTTTCTCTCTTTCATCGTTCTTTTTGTTTTTTTTTGTTGTTTTTTTTTTGTTTTTTCCCTATATTTCCTTTACTCCATGCAGTTCCTTTGCTCCATATAGTTCCTTTGCTCCATATAGTTCCTCTGCTCCATATAGTTCCTTTGTTCTTTATTGTTCCTTTGCTCCGACTCCTACAATCTAGTTCACTTAGCGGATAGATCTTTCTCGTTCCTTTTTTAAAAAGGAACTAGTTCCTTAATGTAGTTCCTTTGCTCCATATAGTTCCGACTCCTACATAGTTCCTCTGAATCTCTATCTTTCATCGTTCTTTTTGTTATTTTTTTCATTTTTTCCATATAGTTCCTTTGATCCCTATAGTACCTTTTCTCCATATAATTCCTTTACTCCATACAGTTCCTTTGCTCCGACTCCTACATAGTTCTTTTGAATCTCTCTCTTTCACCGTTCTATTTTTGTCCATATATACTTCCTTTGCTCCATATAGTTCCTTTACTCAATACAGTTCCTTTGCTCCAAATAGTTCCTTGCTCCATATAATTCCTTTGCTCCATATAGTTCCTTTGCTCCATATAGTCCCTTTACTCCATAAAGTTCCTTTGAAAACATCAGAAAAAACGATATCAGAAAAAAAGAACGAGATCAAAAAGAAACGAGATCAGAAAAATGAACTATATTAATTAAAGAGCTGGAATTAGTTCCGATCGTTCCTTTTTCGGAATAGTTCCAATGAACTAGTTTGTTCCGGAACTACCCAGCATTTGATTATAAAGTCGAATTTTCGATATTTCGATATTTTCAAATCTGTTCAAAATCGATTTTCACCAAATAATGTAAAATTGACTAAAAATTTGATTTTTATATGATTTGTTGTCAAACGATAAAATAAAGTTCTGGAATGTGTAATTTTTGGACTTTGTGATAAGCGATGTATTTATGAAGAAAGTCGAAAGTTGATCTTGATAAGTCGAGTTTGCCTCTTTCTCAAAGATCAAAAATCAATTTCGACTTCTAGATTTTTCAATACAAAAAGTCGATTAGTCGAAAGTCGATTTACTTATCCATAAACAGTTCCAATCGTTTCTTTTATGGAATAGTTTTATTCAAGGCATATAAATAAGGTCGTCCTGGGAGACCAGCTGGATAACAACTGCATTTAAAGTATTGTGAATTGACTTTCATTATGTAAACGTAAGCAAAGGCCAAATTTTTGACATTAGACTTGAGAAAAAAACAGCTGACTTTCGCTAGCTGGGTGACTTTATTAATAGATCTTGGTTTCTTTGAACTCAACTGGTTCCTTCCGGAATGGCCAAACTCTACTGGATAAGTACTCTTTGTCTTGTCTTTGTACTTTGGGTGCTGGATAAATACCACGAGGAAGCAAATATTGTGGACATCTTAACGGCCTCTTAGAGACACTGAGAAAACAAGGATTACGGATTTCCTATTTTTCTTTAGCCAGTTTCAATTTGTCGACATCCCAAAGGGGAGACATGAAGACCTCAATCAGAAGATTCTATGTGTTTATAAAAATATGAACATGATCGGCATCAATCATTTTATGATCACTTCTCATTTATGCATTTCATAAATCATGTTAAAGTGTTTCTATGATAATAGAGAATTAAAAGAATTCCACACACAAAGACATTGGTGCGCCCATTTGATGTAAATTAATGAACGCAAACCTCATGTGCACTGTGAGAATTGTGAGCTATTATGTGTATAAGATTAGGCTAAGTTGGAATAGTTTATGTAGTTCTTATGCAGTATATTTCACAAATAAATCAGAATTAAAGCCACAATCGAAAGAGACGGTTGTGTTTTAATATCTCACTTATACATTTGGTCCTTCGAGCCGGATCATAATAAAATCTGATACTTCGAGAAAAGGGACCACAGCTTAAAAATGGAATAAAAACAGAGAATTGAAATTACAATCGAACAATTTCTCATCAAGACTATGAATTTTTCAAAAATATGATCAGTATCGATCGGAGTCCTTTCCTACAGTATCCGACCTTACGAATCATTCTGTGGCTGTATTCCTCGATTTCGAACTGGAGTACTCTATGAAATAGTTCATTGAACCGCCTGTTTTTTTCGAACTTGCCTGTTTTGCTCTTCGGTACAACCATGGCATAATGAATAGGTAGTCCATTTAGCGCAGCTGATGTCTTGATTAACTGTCAAAGTGGGTAATTTCTACTTGAATTCGATGTGCAGTGTTGCCAACCATTTGAAATACTATATGGAAAAATTTGACAGATAATCGAAACAAAAACAAAGGTTGTTGTTGTGATACATCACCTTATTATTGCATCATGGGTACAACTAATATTTATCGACACTTCGAAAAAATATGCAGAAAAGAGAGAGGTATTTTGTTGAGTTCACCAATATTGGTAATTATACTTTCCTGTACCCCAAACAGTTAACTCTTCGTCCTGCGAATTTTTCAATACACTCTTCTGTCAACTTAAATCTCTTTTTTAACTACAGTCTATGACAATTCGAAAAAAATAAACCCTAGCATAATAATCTTGTCTCTTCATTTTTGAAAGACCTATCCTCCTCCAACCCAATATGTGCGGTATTTAAGACAATTGACAATTTCCTCTTGACTCAAGCTATGTCTTTGATTAGTTTATGATGCTGCCAGCCATTCTAATGCAATTATTATTGGCAATGTCAAACACAATGGGTGGGTGGTGTAATTATCTAGTACAACAACTATTTTAAATTAAGAAATTGCCCCAAATAAATTACACGAACAAGTAAAATTCGTAAATAATTCAATTTTTTATTTTTTTTTTTCATTTTCCAGGGAAGGCAATCATCCCGATGATTACTCACGCGGCCTCACCTACCGCAAACTCTTGGAGGAGGTGTGCCGTTTCGCCAACGTCCTCAAGGATCATGGCATCAAAAAGGGTGATCGCGTCTCCATCTATATGCCCATGATTTTAGAGTTGCCCATTGCCATGCTGGCCTGTGCCCGTATTGGTGCCGTACATTCCATTGTCTTTGCCGGTTTCTCGTCCGATTCGTTGGCCGAACGTATGGTCGATTGTCAAGCTAAGCTGTTGATCACCGCCGATGGAGCCTGGCGTGGTGAAAAACCTTTGTACCTGAAAGCATTGTGTGATATTGCCTTGGCCAAGGCCGAGGAACAAGGCCATATGGTGGAGAAATGTATTGTTGTGTCGCATTTGAAACGTGTCACCCCCTGCCAGGAGAATCATGTGGAACAGGATATACCATGGACTGAAGATCGTGATTTCTGGTGGCATGAGGAAATGGAAGATAAAGAGCCAGCCTGTTATCCCGAATGGATGGATGCTGAAGATCCATTGTTTATGCTGTACACAAGTGGTTCGACCGGCAAGCCAAAGGGTGTCCTACACACAACCGGGGGTTATTTGCTGTATGCTGCCACAACCTTTAAAATTGTATTCGATTATAAGCCGGGTGATATTTACTGGTGCACTGCCGATGTTGGCTGGATTACTGGTCACACCTATGTTGTCTATGGCCCATTGGCTAATGGGGCTTCATCGGTTATTGTAAGTAGTCTGTTTGGGGTTGATTGCGGAGAAGAAATTTACTAACTATATTTCTTATTTCTTTATACAGTTCGAGGGCACTCCCTTCTATCCTGACAATGATCGCTACTGGGCCGTCATTGATAAATATAAGGTTACCCAATTCTATACCGCCCCAACAGCCATCAGAGCTTTGATGAAATTCGGTGATGGTTTGGTGGCCAAACACAAATTGGATCATTTGAGGTAAGTTACAGGGGGATATTTCTTTGAAGTCCTGAAATCTCAAAAATCGACATTCCTTTTGACTGACGTATAAGAAAGAATGGTTTCGAGCTCCTGACAAATTTCTATAACAAAAAGTTTCGACCTGAGTTTTTAATATTTTTTTATTCGACCTGAAGCCTCGACGATTTTTTTCTATAGAAGAAATCAGACCTGTGTTTCATACGTTTTTTCTATATTGACAAAAATTAGACCTTAGGATTTTTTTCTATAAAATACGGAACTGAGAACGATTTTTACATGACAAAAAATAGACATACGGTCCTGACAAATTTTAGTCTATAGAAAAAAATCAGTCCTGCGGTCCTGACGAATTTTTTCTATAGACCGGACCTGACGAATTTTTTTGTATAGAACGAACTTTTTTCTATAGAAAAAAATAAGTCCTGCGGACCTGACAATTTTTTTTCTATAGAAAAAAATCAGTGGTGCGGACCTGATTAATATTTTTCTATAGAAAAAAAATCAGTGGTGCGGACCTAACTAATATTTTTCTATAGAAAAAAAAATCAGTGGTGCGGACCTGACGAATTTTTTTCTATAAACCGGACCTGACGATTTTTTTTTTGTATAGAACGAATTTTTTTCTATAGAAAAAAATAAGTCCTGCGGACTTGACAATTTTTTTTCTATAGAAAAATCAGTGGTGTGGATCAGTGCTAATATTTTTCTATAAAAAAAAATCAGTGGTGCGGACCTGACTAATTTTTTTCTATAGAAAAAATCAGTGGTGCGGACCTGACGAATTTTTTTCTATAGAAACAACTCAGTGGTGCGGACCTGACTAATTTTTTCTATAGAAAAAATCAGTGGCGCGGACCTGACTATTTTTTTTCTATAGAAAACATCAGTGGTGCGGACCTGACGAATTTTATTCTATAGAAAAAATCAGTGGGGCGGACCCGACGAATTTTTTTCTATAGAAAAAAATCAATTGTGCGGACCTGACAAATTTTTTCTATAGAAAACATCAGTGGTGCGGACCTGACGAATTTCTTTATATTGAAAAAAATCAGTCCTGCGGACCAGGCGATTTTTTCCACAGAAAAAAATCAGTTCTGCGGACCTGACAATTTTTTGCTATAGAAAAAATTAGTTTTGTCAAATATTTTTCTATTGAGAAAAAATCAGTTCTGTCGAATTTTTTTGCTATATAAAAAAATTTGTTCTGTCGATTTTTTTTCTTTCGAAAAAAATCTGTACTGTCGATTTTTTTCTATATAAAAAATCAATTTTTTTCTATATAAAAAATCAAATTTTTTTCTATAGAAAAAATTTTGTTAGAAAGTCAATTCTGAAGAGGTCCTAAGGTCTTGCCCTCTTCAGAAAAAAACCGTCCTGCGGTCCTGACGAAAATAATCAGACATTGATGTCCTGACGATTTTTCAATAGAAAAAATCTGATAGAACAAATTTAGTACCGTGTTTTGACGAGTATTTCTTTAGAGTTCTGAGGTCCTAACGATTTTTTAACGGTCCATCCCAGTAATGTAGAATTTTCTTACAATATTTTTAAACCCGATTTTTGTATTATTTTCTTACAGAGTTTTGGGCAGTGTCGGTGAGCCCATTAATCCTGAAGCCTGGTTGTGGTATTATCGTGTCATTGGCAAGGAGAAATGCTCCATTGTGGATACCTTCTGGCAAACGGAAACTGGTGGTCATGTCATTACCCCCTTGCCGGGCTGTACACCCATGAAACCCGGATCAGCAGTAAGTAGCAGCCGGAACTCAAAATAGGTTCTATTAGATTTACTAAAATTCTTCTTCCCTTACAGTCCTTCCCCTTCTTCGGCGTGAAACCCACTCTGCTGGATGAGGCCGGCATTGAAATCAAAGGTGAAGGTGAGGGTTATTTGGTCTTCTCCCAACCCTGGCCCGGTATGATGCGTACCCTGTTTAACAATCATGAACGCTACGAGGAAACCTACTTCTCCAAATTCCCCGGCTACTATTGTACCGGTGATGGCGCCCGACGTGACGCTGATGGTTATCTCTGGATTACTGGTCGTGTGGATGATATGTTAAATGTGTCGGGTCATCTTATGTCCACAGCTGAGGTGGAATCGGTTCTCACCGAACATCCACGTGTTGCCGAATCGGCTGTTGTTGCCCGTCCCCACCCTGTCAAGGGTCAATGTTTGTATTGCTTCATTACACCCAATGAAAATGAAACGTTCGATGCCAAGATGATATCCGAATTGAAGAAATTGGTAAGAGAACGCATCGGGCCATTTGCCATGCCCGATGTCGTGCAACATGCCCCCGGTTTGCCAAAGACACGTTCGGGTAAAATTATGCGTCGTGTTTTGCGTAAGGTAGCTGTGAATGATCGCAACGTAGGTGATATTTCAACATTGGCCGATGAGTCAATAGTTGAGCAATTATTTGCCAATCGTCCCATAGAAGGCAAGTAAACTGAAAGAAAAAACAGCACACACACCCCCACATAAACACACACACTTTGGAAGCACACAAGGCATGCGGACAGGGAAAAAAACAAATTTCAAACCTTAGAAAAAAACATCCCAATGCTAAATAACAATTTTAAAGGAAATGCCTGAGGCTTGGTTAAAAATTCACCACAACACCACAAGAAGAATTCCCCCCTTCCATTTCCCCCATCCTGCCAAATGTTGTTGTTCCCCCCCGCAAAGAAGTGCATAGATTTGTATTAGACAAATCTCCAGATGAGAAAGCAAACAAAAAAATTCCAACCCTAATATCACAAATCTTGTAAATCTCTTATTATAGACAAACAAAAACAAAAAACCCATGTAATTTTTTAAGTTTAGTTTTTAGTTCCATTAATAAAAAATATATTTTTAAGGATTTAGATTTCCAAAAAACAAATTCCTTTAGTATGGAAAGTAAATATTTTTATTTTAAATATAACATATTTTTTTGTTTTTAATTTATCCCCTTGGAATGTTGAAAACACTTTCTTTTGAATTATTTTATGGGATTTTAAAAACCCCATTGACCTTAAAGTAAAGGGTGCTTTTTTGACTATGATCCCTTAGGAAGATTTAAATTAAAACACAGTTTTTAATATACATAAAGTTTTCAAATGAAAACAATATTTTTTAAGGGAGATGGAAAAAGGTCCTTTGAAAGAAATCACTCCTGGGAATTAAGCGGAAAATGCATTTTTAGGTCTAAAAATTAATTCCGAAGTCCAAGCAATTTTTCCTATAGAAAAAAGTTAATAAGAATTCTTATTAATTATTTTCTATAGAAAAGAAAATTAATCTTGAGGTCTCTCGTTTATTTTGAGAGGTGGATAATTTTTTTCTATTGGAAACAATCAATCCTGAAGTTTAGGAAAAAAATCTGTCGTGAGATTTGAGGATTTTTTCTATAGAAAAAAAATCTTGAATATTTTTCTATAATAAAAAAGCAATTAATTCGGAAGTCTTAGGATTTATTTCTATATAAAAAATAAATCTTGAGATTTGATGATCTTTTCTATAGAAAAAAGTAATCCTGATCTCTCAAGAATATTTTTCTATAATAAAAGAAATAAATCTTTAGGTCTCATGATTACTTTTCTATAGGGAACAAATCAATTCTGAGGACAATCAATCAAAAATCAGTCTCAGAATTTTTTTTCTATATAAAAAATCAATCCTGAGATTTGTGGATTTTTTCTATAGAAAAAAATCTTGATCTCTCATGATTAGTTTTCTACAGAAAAAAGGACTATTATAGTGCGTAAGGATGACGTACTAAAAAAAAAATTATCAATCAAAAATCAGTCTCAGAATTTTTTTTTCTGAGATTTTAGGATTTTTTTCTATAGAAAAAAAAATAATCTTGATCTCTCAAGAATATTTGTCTATAATAAAAATATGAATCTTTAGGTCTCATGATTAGTTTTCTATAGAACAAAAGAATCTTAGGACTAATATAGTGCGTAAGGATGGCGGATTTAAAAAAAATCAATCTTTTCTATATAAAAAAATAAATAATAATCCGAAAGATTTGAGGATTTTTTCTATAGAAAAAAGTAATCCTGATCTCTCAAAAATATGTTTCTATAATAAAATAAATAAATGATTAGTTTTCTATAGAAAAAAATCAATTCTGAGGACTAATATAGTAAGTACGGATGACGGATTAAAAAAAAAAACAATCAATTCGGAAGTCTCAGGATTTTTTTTCTATATATAAAAATTATTCCGCAAAATTTGAAGATTTTTTTAGAGAAAAATATAGGTCTCCCAAGAATATTTTTCTATAAGAAAAGAAGTAAATCTTTAGGTCTTATGTTTAGTTTTCTGTGGAAAAAATCAATTCTGAGGACTATTGTGGTACGTAGGGATGAGTGGCTTAAAAAAAGAAATCAATCCGGAAGTCTCAGAATTTTTTTTCTATATTAAAAAATCAATCCTGGGATTTGAGAATTTTTTCTATAGAAAAAAATAATCTTGATCTCTCAATGATTAGTATTCTATAGAAAAAAAATCAATTCTGAGGAGAATTATAGTTCGTAAGAATGACGGATTTAAAAGGAAGTCTCAGGATTTTTGGGAAAAAAAAATCCTGAAATTCTGCCCAAGCTTTGCTAGTCCTTGAGAAAAATATTCGGTACTTGGAAAAACAATACACGACTTTACGTTATGGTTATGCTAGGATAAAAATATTTAATTTTGAAACATTGAAGCCCGAATGACATAAAAGAAGTATATCTTTAAGTCTCATTAGATTAGTTTTCTATAGAAAAAATCAATTCTGAGGACTCTTCTAGTACGTAGGAATGACGGACTTAAAAAAAAGGAGTTCTGAAGTTCTGACAATTGTTTTATAGGCTTCTATCGCCTCAAAAAAGCATTTTTGTTTTCTGTGGTCTAAAAAGGCATTTTAAGGCTTCTATCGCCTAAAAAAGGTTTTTTAATGCCTTTAAGGCTTCTATCGTCTAAAAAGGGGATTTTAATTTTCTATCGCCTAAAGCATTTTAAGGCCTTTGAAGGCTTCTATCGCCTAAAAAAGGCATTTTAATTTTCTGTGGTCTAAAAAGGCATTTTAAGGCCTTTAAAGGCTTCTATCGCCTAAAAAAATGCATTTTAATTTTCTGTGGTCTAAAAAGGCATTTTAAGGCCTTTAAAGGCCTCAAAAAGGCATTTAAATTTTCTGTGGCCTAAAAAGGCATTTTAAGGCCTTTTTCCATAGAAAAAAAAATAATCCTGGTCTGAGGAATCACGTAAAAATATTTTTTGTAGGAAAATTAGTACTTGGGACCATACGAGCTTAGAAAAAAGTTACTATTTTTTTTCTAAAAGTAAAAATGTCAAAATATATAATTTTTATATCCTGATGTTTCCGTGAAATTTTCAAAGGTCTTAGATTTTTTCTTCAAAAATATGGTACTGATATTTCGGACTTTTTTTTAAATGGATAAAACATAATCCTACTTTATTCCTTAAAATGTTTTTTAAATATCACTCATGTCCTCCCTTCAGATTATTGTTTTCATTTGAAAAATTAAATATTAAAATTAAAAAATAATTAAATAAATAATAATACATATTTTTTGTACACAAAAATATTTAATAAGCTTAACTTCTGCACATTCAAAAATTATTTCGTTTTTCCTATATTAAAAAAAGAAATAAATTTAAAAATACTGGTGATTTTTGTGTAATAAACACACACACAGACACCCTTTAGGGAAAAAATATAACCACAACCGTAGCTTAAAATCTCAGTGAGTGAGAGAAAAAAAATACCAACAACAACCACAAAAAAGCCCCTTATGTGTGTAGATAATTAATGTATCTTGTAGATGCATGTAGTTGTACTATTTTTTTTCTTTTTGTGAATTTTATAAAATAGCTAAAATTTATTATTTTTATTTTTTGTTTGTTGTTGTGTTAGTTAATATAATTTATTTGTTGTTGTAATACTACTAGTGTTTATTTTCTACACTATGTTACTTCTTCTTATGTTTTTTGGTCTTTGTTGAAAGTAACTTTCATTTGTGTTTAAAAAAATCAAAACAGAATATATATATATATATATATATATTTTATTATTATTCAATAGACAACACACACACACATACAGAATATTTAAATAATAAAAATAAAAAAAAAAATACTGTTGTCCTTAAGTATACAAAAGCAAACACTTAACCTAATCAACTATAGTTTAATATTATATGAAAATAATTTACAATAAAAAAAATACAAAATCATTAAAAAAAAAACAATATATTCTTCTACAAAAAAAACATACCATAATTGTTGTTGTTTCTTAACATTATTATTAGTAGTAGTATTAAAACCGGAGCTTCGCATGATACAATTTTGATTTGCTATTTTTTTTTGTTACAAAAATTTAAAAAAAAAAATAAATAATATAAAATAAAAAAGGTTCCAAAATGTATTTCAACGTTCACAATAACATCCTGAATCGCCAAAAAATAGCATGCAAAATTGTATCATTGGAATCCGCTCCTTTAGAAGTTTGTTTCTGTTAGTCATTTGGTTGTTCTTGTTTATTAATGTTAACATTTGCTCCTGTTCTGAGAACATTTATTTCATAATATCGAAGCGCTATTTGAAGTATAAATTTTATTTATAGAAGACCTCTAGAAAAAGATGATAAAAACATATTCATAAAAAAATTAGGACTGGAAAATGTATAAAATATAGTCCTTGAAAAATGATATTCAAAAATGCAGGACTTCAGTGTCCTTGATAATGTAGTTAAAATATAAAACAGTATAGTCGGACGGGACCGACCATACGATACCCTACTTACCCTACTTATCGAGATTCTCTTGACCGTGGGTTGTGTTGTGATGTTCGGCTTGTGGCCTATAGATCGACTCAAAAAAAACCCAAAAAATATGTTTTCGGTCCACTTTATCGCAAAAATTTTATGTAATCATCACCGAAAATTATTGACATCGTCCTTGACCATACTTCAATCCTCATGGAAATTTTCAAGGCGATCAGCGCTATATTTCCACCCCCTAGTGTGGTAATGGGCTTCTAAATAATATCTGAATACGTAAGCACCTGTAAATATTTAAGTGTAACACCCACATCCGAGTGCATACGACAATATAATTAGTATCAACCGAACATACGATACCCTACACAACTACCATGAAATTCTTTTCTTTCTGCGGATATTTATTACGAGCCTAGGCTATATTTCATGATATTTGCACACCCTTGCCCGATTAGAGGTCAACAGCACCTCTTCCTTACCCCGACCTATATTCCGAATATTACTAATATTCAGTACTGCCGGCAGAAGGGCTGCAGCCCTTCTAATTACTTGTCCAGATTTCCTTCACCATGAGTTGTGTTGTGATGTTCCGTTTATAATTGTGGCCTATAGATCGACTCGAAAAAATACAATAAAATTAAGTTTTCGGTCCACTTCATCCCAAAATTATTATCTT